CATCTTACTCCACTAATTCTACTGTCTCTCATATTAGTCACCTCTGCAGTCGACTGAAGAGGCCTAACGTGTAGGCGAAACGTTTAGGAGTAAAGATAGCTAACTCTTGCACATGTGTCTTATGTACTTGTCAGTATTGTATTCCATGATTATCTTGGTGTTTGAAGGAAGTAAATGCAGGAAGCTCAGAGCTCCCGTGACACACTTGGCTCGCGGAAAAATGTGTAGGGAACCAAGACAGAGTTTCCTGATGAAGAATGAATGATGATTAAGTGGGCTTTAATCTTGCGATTTATTAGACTAAGGTGACGTCTAACTCTGTCTGTCTGTCTGTCTGTCTGTCTGTCTGTCTGTCTCTCTCTCTCTCTCTCTCTCTCTCTCTCTCCTCTCTCTCTCTCTCTCTCCTGTCTTCATTAATCGCCTTTTGATTCATTTCCACTTTTCACCTTTTCTTATTTATAGTTCCATGTCTCCTGTTTCCACTGTTAATCTGAGTTCTTAAGCACTATTTTTCCTCCTCCTCCTCCTCCTCCTCCCTCCTTCCTTTATCAAATTTTTCACTGACCTTTTTTCCCTTCTATGTTTTTAATTTAAAATTTATCCTTCAACACTATCTTTATCTTTGTTTTTCGTATAGCTGGGAAATGGTCGCAGAGTCATGAACCTTATTCACTTGTTTTTATATTATTGTGGTTCGTTCGTTAAAATCGCCGAGTATTTCTACGGATGCTGTGCCAGCCTCATCTCTCATCATGGCACTTAGTGTATGGGTGGATATGCTCTAAAAATTGACATAACAACTCTCGGGTTATTCACCCTGATAAATACTGGAGAGTTGGTTGCTTTGGGTGGATCACGGTTTGATGGCTAGATTTTAGATTTTGCCACCGAAGTGGCTAATTTATTGTGTACCCAATATCCTTTCTGTGGATAGTAGTGGCTAGTTTATTGTGTACCCAATATCCTTTCTGTGGATGGTAGTGGCTAGTATTGTGTACCCAATATCCATCCTGTGGATGGTAGTGGCTAGTTTGTGTACCCAATATCCATCCTGTGGATGGTAGTGGCTAGTTTATTGTGTACCCAATATCCTTTCTGTGGATGGTAGTGGCTAGTTTATTGTGTACCCAATATCCATTCTGTGGATGGTAGTGGCTAGTATTGTGTACCCCATATCCTTCCCGTGGACGATAGTGGCTAGTTTGTGTACCCAATATCCATCCTGTGGATGGTAGTGGCTAGTTTATTGTGCACCTCATATCCATCCTGTGGACAGTAGCGGCTAGTTTATTGTGTACCTCATATCCAGCCTGTGGATGGTAGCACAAGAGCATATGGATACACAATAGGCCTAGGAACTAGGCTCTAATTGAGTTTACAGGAGTACATCTGGATTTATACCTCCAGTTCACTTATCTGTTACAAGCAAATTTAAGAAATTTGCTTAATATATCTGGTATCTTATTTTCATTGTTGGTGGAGATAGGAACGGATGATTTGTATATGTGAGTGTCACCTGTGAGTCACACAGGTAGTGAGTAAATGATGAGTAACACAATAGGGCTGTAATTCATCAAAATATTAATTCTATACAAGACTGACCAGTTGATATCCCAGTGTCGCATTTGTGTTTAGTTCATTAGGTCTATAATTCTATCTTATCACATGTGGAAAGTGATCATAAGACAAATATTAAAAATCTCTTTATTAGTGGAGAGACTGTGCAAGAATAAGAAAAAAAATCGTATCATTAATACATTTTACTTACAGTAAAGTAAGCATTACTCTGATCATGACTCATTTGCCATGAGTTTTAACCCCATTTCGTACTCTGGTTTGTACTCTAGTTAATAACATGACCCTCTCTTGTTTAGCAAAGAAAAACAACAAGGAAATTCAGTGTTTTCCTTCCTGTTAATCACGTAGAGACTAACACACTAACTACATGTGATATAAACCACGGTACGGTTGGGACTCGAACTCATGGAAGGTGTGTCGTTAAACTCCAGACCAGCGCATGAGCCACTGGGCCAGCTGGTTACAATAAGATTCATTCACCCTTACGGTGGTGTGCTTGTATTCACGTTAAGACTTCGTGAGAACATATGATATTATATAATAATAATAATAATAATAATAATAATAATAATAATAATAATAATAATAATAATAATAATAATAATAATAATAATAATAATAATATCGTTATTTCTACCAGTACATGTACAAGGTATACAGACCATAGCTGACATCAATGACATACTACTATATTGAAAGCCCTTGTTATGCAGAGCATTTCCCGCAAATTAGATCAGTTTTGTCCCAGGATGCGACCCACACCAGTCAACTAACACCCAGGTACCTAATTTGCTACTAGGTGAACAAGGACAGCAAGTATCTTATGGAAACACATCCTAGTGTTTTCCAGCAGTACCAGGGGATCGATCCCCGGGACACAGCTGCTCTCACTTTTTGGGAACGGTCTTAGTAGCGTGGTGATGCTGGCGGCTCTCGCTCGGAGACGTCGCTCCGGGAATATTTTAAGAATACACGATATTAAATGTTAATTTAAATTACAAATTATGCAGAAAACCCAGAGTAAATTACATAGAGAAAAATAACAAGCATTAATATCACATATCAGAAAAAATATATTATCATTATTATTAAATTATTATTATTATTATTATTATTATTATTGTTGTTGTTGTTGTTGTTGTTGTTGTTGTTGTTGTTGTTGTTGTTGTTGTTGTTGTTGTTGTTATTATTATTATCATTATCATTATTATTATTATTATTATTATTATTATTATTATTATTATTATTATTATTATTATTATTATTATTATTGTTGTTGTTGTTGTTGTTATTATTATTAATATTATTATTATTATTATTATTATTATAATTATAATTATTATTATCATTATTATTATTATTATTATTATTATTATTATTATTATTATTATTATTATTATTATTATTATTATTATTATTATTATTATTATTATTATTTTTAACACAACGGTTCTCTCCCACCGAGAAAGAGAGACACAAAAAAAGTGAAATTACATTTACCGTCATTCACTCAATAGCCATTTTAGCGGCAAAGAGCTGACTTCACAGTTCAGGTGACCTCCGAATGGCACATCCTCGCCCCTCCCTTAGACAGACAATAGACGTATAATAGATACCAGGTATCATATAGACCTCGCTACCTGAGTGTTCCCTGTGATGAAAGTAACTAAGGAGGGGCCCAGGAGACCGCCCTGGAGACTTCTGTAGGGAGTACCTCAAACACGACCACTCTGCTATGGTCGTTTAACACTTGTCAAGGCACTTACACCAAAGTAACCCTTAATTAAAGCAACGTTTCGCTTAAGATTCTCATCACGACTTAATAAACTCTCCCTGCATAAGAAATGTCGTAATTATAACGTTTATTGTACCACTTTGAAGGGCTAAACCATTAGTGAGTATACAGTATACACAGACTGTTGTCCAGACATAGAATATATATTGTCCAGTCATAGACTATATTGTCCAGACATAGACTATATTGTCCAGACATAGAATATATATTGTCCAGTCAACTATATCCAGACAAGATATATTGTCCAGTCATAGACTATATTGTCCAGACATAGACTATATTGTCCAGACATAGAATATATATTGTCCAGTCATAGACTATATTGTCCAGTCATAGACTATATTGTCCAGACATAGACTATATTGTCCAGACATAGACTATATTGTCCAGACATAGAATATATATTGTCCAGTCATAGACTATATTGTCCAGACATAGACTATATTGTCCAGTCATAGACTATATTGTCCAGACATAGACTATATTGTCCAGACATAGACTATATTGTCCAGACATAGACTATATTGTCCAGACATAGAATATAATTATCCAGACATAGACTATATTGTCCAGACATAGACTATATTGTCCAGACATAGACTATATTAACCAGACATAGACTATATTGTCCAGACATAGACTATATTGTCCAGTCATAGACTATATTGTCCAGACATAGACTATATTATCCAGACATAGACTATATTGTCCAGACATAGACTATATTGTCCAGACATAGACTATATTATCCAGACATAGACTATATTGTCCAGACATAGACTATATTGTCCAGACATAGACTATATTGTCCAGACATAGGCTTTACAATGTGAGCATCTCTCAACTACTTTGCATGACTCACTGTCTATCCACAGTCACCCAGAATACCCAGCAAACACCAGGTGGAGGCGGGTGATCTGTCAGACTAGGGGTTCAGTCCCCAGTAGTAAGACCGAACTTCCATCACGACTCACGAAATCGCAATAACGCGACTGGAAACAAAATCAAGGAACGGGTGGGGTTTGAACCCATGGCGAGTAAAGCCGAGTGGTTAACACACTGGCTAGTGAGTTTTTAGGACTCATTTGCCAGAGGTTCGAACCTCGACCCGTTCCGTGGTATTTTTTTACGAGATTAAATCTTTCCACACTCGCACAATTACGCAGTTATTCCCAGCTGGTGTTTAGTCTCGTGTTTCTCAACCAGAACAAATACCACTAAACCTTTGTTGACACACTTCAGCACACAGGTCAATACACAAATAACCCGCACATAGGAGACGCTTACGACGACGTTTCGGTCCGTCTTGGACCATTTACAGACTGTAAATGATTCAAGACGGATCATTTGTGTGTTGTTAAAGTCACGGTATTGTGTTATTTTGTTCTTCATCGAACGTCAAACATCTCGAAGCTGATGTTTATTTTTATTGAAAAAAAAAATTGAACACCAGTTCGTGATTGTCTTTATAAACTCAAACAAATAAATTCATTCATATATAAATATTATTCTTTTTTTTTTGTACTTGATTCTGAACGTGAAAGAAGGTTCATTAACTAGTGTAAAACGTACAGTTTCGTGTCTTTGAAGGAAATCAAGAGCCCTCCAGTAGAGTGATAGAGCCAGACTGAGGCACGTACGCGTGAGTGGCGGCGTCCAGGGCGGGCGGACTCGTCTGATACGTCCGATTTCCGGGTGGAGGTACGAAATCCGGACCAAAATTTCGCCCAGAAAAGTGGTCTAGATCCGAAACGTACGATATTCGGTACGTACGAAATTGTCCAGAGTTCCACTGTACTTGTATATCAGTGGTATTCAATAAGGACGTTTCGCCATACTGTGCTTTTATCAATACATTACGTGGCATTATATAAAAATTGTAGAAATATGTATAGTAGACAGAGGAAGAAGAGGTAAACAGTCCCTCAGCCTAGGAGCAGTGAAGGGCACCGTAGTCTACAAGATTCTGACACACAAGCAGGAAGATTGGTGCTTATATACTGGAGTCAGGACATGCAGTAGAGGTAGGCTGTCTACCTCTACCGCACGTATCTAGGTGTTCCACATGTGTCTTAGTCATCAACTCTTCACCAGCCTCAAGATACTCCCTGGGGAAATCAAACAAGAACCCGAGACAAGTAGCGTTCAGTACGTGCGATGGACCAAGGGTAGGGACAAAACTGTCTGCCGCTGTAATATTCTCTGCAAGTTCGAGGTTTTCCCGTGTTTGCCTGAGTGTGGTCCGCGGGGAGTATTTTACACATAGACAGAAGTTTTTCGTATTGTAAGTCTTTCAGATCGAGGACGAACTCCAGCCTGTGACAGATCCTGTTTCGTTTCTCAGAGTTGTATCTCCTGGCATTGACGAGATGCCAGTCAGTGCCATCGGGATCACGGTACCATGGACCTCCTATGATCTTAGCGTCGTATCGCGAGAAGTAGTTATCGTATTTTCGCGTTGTTAAAAGAAGTCTCGTAAGACTCGATACCTTAAAGTCCACCGAGTCTATGAAGTAAACACGGGGGCGCAGAGCTTTCAAAAATTTTTTAAACTGCGCTTCCATGCTAACGTTGCCATACCAATTATGGCCTTTTTCTGGAATTCCAAAATACAGACCACGCAGATGGGGCACTATCCTCGGCAAGATAGTCAGTTCGGATTTCATGAAGAGTCTTGGTTTCAGACCCTCCTTCATGATTTCCTGAAACTTGTCTACGTGCACCACTCTAGTCATGGTCCAGAAAGGCCTGTAGTCTGCATGATCGAGGCAGAGCATGTACTGACGTGAGAGTGAAGATGGGCGAGGGGAAGCAATGTACTTAGGAATCCAACAAACACACGTCCCTCTTGTCAGGTACAATGTGTCCTCATTCTCGTCTGGAAACGCTGTCATCACTCAGGTCTGCAAACGAAGGATACACCCATGATAAGTATGCTGGAGTGCTGTCACTGGCATGCACTGATCTTATAGGGAATGTGAGACAATTAAACTTGATGTGAGGAAGGGAAGGATGGCTCCAACTCCTTAGAGATCTTCTTAAGGGTTATAGATGATAGCCACTGACACAGACAGGACACA